ACCACCTCACTCTCCGCATATGGGAGGTATTTGGGAGGTTGGCATTAAGTCATGCAAATTTGAAAAGAGTAATGGGAAATTCGCATTTCACTTTCGAAGAACTCGCAACAGTTCTCGTACAGATTGAAGCCTGTGTTAATTCGAGGCCTTTATGTTCTATATCTGCGGATCCTTCTGATCTGCAACCTCTCACACCAGCATACTTTATTGTAGGAGGATCTTTAACCAGTCTTCCCGAGTTAAACGTAACCGAGATCAAGATCAATCGTTTAAGTCGATGGCAGCTTGTCCAACGCACGATCCAACAGTTTTGGAAACGGTGGGCGGCTGAATACATAGCTAATTTGCAGAATCGAACGAAATGGAAAAGGAAACAGCCCAACTTGCAAGTGAACGATTTGATATTGTTACGAGACGAAAATCTACCCCCGTTGAAATGGAAATTGGGACGAGTAATCGAGCTGCATCCTGGACACGACAACGTAATACGCGTGGTCACAATCCGAACTGAAACCGGCATTTATAAACGATCGGCGGCCAAACTATGCAAGATGCCAGCAGGCGAAGATGAGGAAATTAGATTGTCTAATTTGGTGGGCAGCTTATGTTGAGAATGATAGGAATCGTTTCTTAATATCCGAGATTAGCGTAAGATAAATTATCGACCGCGTAGACTAAGGGAGCGCTCTCGCGTTGATTAAGCGAACTGCGTTACTTACTCTCGCTTCTACTTTGGTTTGTACAACGAGCGTCCAAGCACGCAACTTTGAAATAAAGATAATTATTTGTGTGCAAGCGAGTCTCATTTTCTATGCATTAACGTGTACCATTTCATTATCTTTCAATAATAAAATGTATTACGTTAAAATTTGGTATAAGAATTCTTTTAAAATTAATATTGATCTTTTGTGATTTATTTTTAGAAAACTGTTATATATATATATATATATACAGTTTAATCTCTCACCTAGAACACCATATTTGATTCAAGATTGGAGTGTAAGTTATAAATAGTTTTCAATAACGTATATATTCTCATATAAGTATACATTTACAAATTATTATTCTAATTAATAATTATTATCGTGAAGAAAGATTGTTCTGATAATCAATTTCGTAATAACATTATACCAAAAAAATCTATTACATATAATCAAATACGCCAATAAACGTAATTTTTGAAAAAAATGATTAAAATTATTTAAATTATTTATATATTGACATTAGAAAACAAACTGATATATTATTGAAGGTGCCAGTTCAAAGTGAACATTCATAAAATGTATATCCTTTTGTTGCATATATACGTAATAATGATCTAACAACACATGCACACTAGATGTTTATAATAGTAATATTAAATCATTATTATTAGGTATATATGCTGCAAAAGAATATACACTTTATGTATGTTTACTATGAACTGGCACCTTCATAATATATGAGTCATTTTTCATGGTAATATGTAATATTTTATTATCTTTCAATAATAAAATGTATTACGTTAAAATAGACAATTTGGTATAAGAATTCTTTTAAAATTAATATTGATCTTTTTTATAATTTTTATTTATAAATATAAAAAACTGTTATAGTTTAATCTGTCACCTAGAACACTATATTTGATTCAAGATTTTGGAGTGTAAGTTAACTAGTAGTTAACTAGTTTTCAATCACGTATGTCTTCATAAGTATATGTTTACAAATTATTATTCTAATTAATAATTAATATCGTGAAGGATTGTTCTGATAATCAATTTCGTAATAACATTATACCAATAAAATCTATTACATATAATCAATAATCAAATACGCTAATAAACGTAATTTCTGAGAGAGAGAAAAATAATTGAAATTATTTAAATATTTATATATTTTGCAGGTACATAATTTAGAAGTAATTGATCAAAATGGTGTTCAATTTGGATGGAGGAGGAAATACCATAAAACGATAATAATATAAAGACATTAGATCCGAGTACATTGAAAGTTCTTGATGCCAGTGCTATAATCTTGGATGTGACTAATGCAAAGCTTGTCGACAATAATGTTGCCCTAAATAAGAGTGGTATCAAAACAGTTGACAAGCGCAATAGTACATTACAATAATAAAAGTACATTAAATTCTGAAGGTAATGCAATGCAACCGACACTTTTGACGCTAGAAAACAAACTAATATATCATTGAAGGTGCTAGTTCAAAGTGAACATTCATAAAATGTATATCCTTTTTTGCATATACATGTAATAATGATTTAACAACACATGCACACTAGATGTTTATAATAATAATGTTAAATCATTATTACATGTATATGCAAAAAAGGATATACATTTTATGAATGTTCACTTTGAACTGGCACCTTCAATAGTATATAAGTCATTTTTCATGGTAATAATGTATCCTCACAATATTAGTTATTAATTATAATAATAATTTGTAAATGTATACTTATGAAGATACACGGGATTGAAAACTGGTTAACTCACACACATGTGCTCCAAACTCTTGAATCAAAAATAGTGTTTTAGGTGAGAGATAGAAATAACAGTTTTTTAGATTTCAAAAATGAATCACATATAAGATCAGTATTAATTTCAAAAGAATTCTTATGTACTCCAAAATATTGAATCAAATATAGTGTTCTATGTGATCAAAATAACAGTCTTTATATTTTAAAAATGAACCACAAAAGATCAATATTAATTTTAAAAGAAATCTTATTAAATTGTTTTACCATATTGTACACTTTAACGTAATACATCTTTATTATTGGAAGATAATGAAATTGTAAAAAACCTTAGCATACATAATGAGGTATTCAAGTCAAAGTCAAACGTAAAGTTGGCAACTGTTGGTGTATGTTTTACTTTGATGAACCTGATACCTTCAATAATATATGAGTCATTTTTCATGGTAATATGTATAACAATATTTTTTATATGCGTATTCATTTCCATTTTTATCTTTTAATAATAATATAAAAAACTATTATAGTTTGATCTCTCACCTAGAACACTATATTTGATTCAAGATTTTAGAATGTAAGTTAACAAGCTTTCAATCACGTATATTTTCATAAGTATACGTTTACAAATTATTATTCTAATTAATAATTAATATCGTGATTGTTCTGATAATCAAATACGCTAATAAACGTAATAAGTGTTTTGGTATAATGTTATTAAGAAATTGATTAACAGAACAATCGTTCCTCACAATATTAATTATGAATTAGAATAAAATTTTGAAAATGTATATTTATGAAAATACACGTGATTGAAAACTTTAACTCATATACATGTGCTTCAAAATCTTGAATCAAATATAATGTTCTAGATGAGACATCGAAATAACAGCTTCTTATATTTCAAAAATGAATCACAAAAGATGAGTATTAATTTCAAAAGAATTCTTATCTGCTCCACAATCTTGAATCAAATATGAATATGTATGAAAATAGTTTAAAATAAAAGCCTTTAATCTTTTATTAGTCAAAATCTAATTTTTGTTTGAAATTCCGGTTTCGAGTTGGTTATATAAAAACCTATGTAGTATTATTATGAAACTAACGAGTTCATAAAATTTTTGAAAAAAAATGTCTGAAATTATTTAAGATATATTTTGCAGGTACTCAATTTAAAGGTAATTCGCAATCTTATTTTTCACAGATTTCAATTATCATTACTTTAATATTAAATTTTAATATATGCCTTTCAACATATTATTAAGATCTAATAAGATGCTATAAGCATTGAAATTTGTTAGATTGATTGTCAATCTGACTAAAAGTGATATTACCGCGGTAGTTATTTAGAGTTGCGTTGTAAGTCTGAAAAAATGTTCAGCACGCGATTGAGAGAACTACATACTCGATATATAAATTCACACATAATGATAATAAGCATCTTGGTCTAGCTTTGACCGATAGGCTTTGCTTTGTGCTTCCTTCTTTCTTGTTATTGTTTAACAATTGTACGGTCATAAAAATAAGATTCCATTATTCGTTAATACATATGCGATATATAAATACACACATAATGATAATAAGCATCTTGATCTAGCTTTGACCGTGATAGGCTTTGCTTTGTGCTTCCTTCTTTCTTGTTATTGTTTAAAGGTAATTGATCAAAATGGTGTTCAATTGGGAGGAGGAAATACCGTAAAGATACTAGAGGATCAAGGGACAATTGACACAAAATACAATGTACTTAACAACAGTCAATATATATTAAAAACGATAATAATATAAAGATATTAGATCCGAGTACATTGAAAGTTCTTGATGCCAGTGCTACAATCTTGGACATTAGACGAGGCCAGTATACATTATGCCAACTTTGTCTTTTTTTTTAAAGTAGGGGAAATGCATTTACGCATCCCCGCCCGGTTACGGGTCCCAGGCGGGGTATGTGGGGCTCACCCTATTTAACGGGAATACCCACTAAAACCCCTACTCGTGTCCGTCCACAACCATAGCGGAGGCGCCCCGGGCATCGCATTTAAGCATTCTTCCGGGACGCCCCCCGGCCAGAGCCAGAGACTCTATCTCCCCGAGGATTGCGACACGAGACCATCCTCCGTAATCCTGTGGGAGTTTGCGGGGAGCAAGTTACCCGTCTTGCCCCCCGCACTCCCCACCTCCCGGTGCGGCGGGCGAGACCGCGCCACCGACAGAGGACAAACGCCCCTACCTGCCGAAGGCCACGGCCCCACCCCCCACACCCCGACGCGGGCGCAGAGGAAGGATCACCGCCAGAGGGCAAGTGCCCCTACCTGACGGCTATCCTCTCCTCATGCTTGAACCGGGAAGGAAGAGACCGGAGAAAGAGGGCAAACGCCCCTACCTGCCTCCCCCCTCCCCCCAGCCCCGCGCCCTCCGACGCCGAAGCCGACCACGGGCCACCAACAGAGGACAAAACGCCCCTACCTGTCGGCAGCCCGAGGCCGGCCCCGGCGCCGGGCAGGGGGGGCCCCGCGGCCGGCGGCCCGGAGGTCAATGCAAGCGCAAGGACCATCGCGAACCGCCCACCACAGGAGCCCCCCGAGCCATACACCGGCGCGCCGACGCGCAGCCCACCCCAGCCCCGAACCACGGATTCCCCCCCGCGCCCCCGCGACGCAGAGACCTCCCCAGGCCCCACACACGGGACGACCTCCCAGTCGTCGACCAACCCTCGAAAGAGAAGGGCAGTCCCTCCAAGAAGCCTTCAAAAAGGCGACATCCCTATCTAGGGGAAAACCAGCCGGTCGGCTGAACAGAGTGGTAAGCTGCGGGCCCGCCGGACACTCGTCCGAAAAACGAACGGGACCCAGCCGGGCCCGAGCGGATATACGAATCCGCACGTCGCGCGTACCTCCAACAAAAACCCCTGCACAGCGTCCACACCCCGCGCCTTTAGGCGCAAAAAACCCCAACCGTGTCTGCCACGAAGTCGGACCGCCAACACCCCTAGGGCAACCCCAATGGCCCGAGGATCAGCCGAGCCGCGGATTTCTCAACGCAGCACTCGACCTCACCAAGGATCCCCCAGGGAAGCCCGAGGATGAACCGGGCCGCAGGCGCAGCAACTCGGCCATCCTCACGGTGGCACCCCCACTCCTCTCCAGGGGCTCCCCCGCGGGGGAAGGGGACCAGAAGAGGGAGGGGGGGAGCCCGACGCCCAAAGCGTCACCTCCCGACTTGCAAACTCTGCCCCCCAGGGTGAAGGGATGCCCCCCCGACACCAAGGTCAAGCTTCGGCGCAGGTCCGACATCCCCGAGTGACAGAGTCCGCAAGGGCTCGGGTCCGTGGGTTCGCCAAACCCAAAATGGAAGCCCCTAAGGACTTCCATCCCCTGCGGGAAACTTTATGTCTGATTCGACTCATACTAACTCGAACATGTACTTGAATACCTCATTATGTGTGTGCCAAGGTTAATTTTTTATATATAAGAATTGGAGGCGTATTAATTAACGCGTCGACTTTGGACAACATATTTTTATTTATTTATTAACGTGATATCGTAGGTATATCTTCGGTGCATATTATTACATTATCATATTAATTAAACGATTCGTGCTGTTAAAATCACATTTCAAAGCGATAAAATACTAATTGGTTAGATTTCACTCTGCTTAATAATTTAAAGTCAAATTACTATATCCTATAAAAAACTATTTAAAAAAATGAAGGACTGAGCACCAGTTATGTAATTAATTCTTTAAATTTAATTCTGTAAAGGATTAAACGTTCTTTACAACTTTCATTTTCAAAACATCAAGTTATTTAAAACAGATGTTCTAATAGAAATGATAATTTTTATTTTAAATAAGTTTTCAAAGCTTATTTAATGTTTTTTATACCCCAGTCAACAGTCGGGAGTATTTAAAATAATTTTATTATTTAAAATATATATTTCAAATATGTATATATGTATTTAATATGTATTAAATATGTGGTGAGGGGTACAGCGGAAAGCGGAGGCGATTCGAAAATCGGCCGAAAGTTACGTACACTTTTTGTATATTCACTTTGTACTAGCAACTTTAATTAATAATCAGTTACTTTTCGTGGTAATATATTAACAATTTAACTCGTGATAGTACTGCGATAGTTTTAAATATATGTACGTCATACCGGTTAGCAGTCCGTAGTATTTAAAATAATTTTATTTAATATGTATTTAAATAAAGACTCCACGGTTTATCTGTGAGCCTGGCGAGGGGGGGACGTGCGACTCGCATTCGCCCTTCCACTTGATGTGTTGTTTTGATAACAATCCCCAAGGCTGTTTTCACTAACCGTCTAATATTGACACGTCAGATTTATAACAACATATTAATTTTTTTTCGTTAACGTGATTGCATATTATAAAACAAAAAATAATTAATAATCAGTTACTTTTCGTGGTAATATATTATAATTTAACTCGTGATAGTACTGTGATGGTTTTAAATATACGTCATATCGGTCAGCAGTCGGGAGTATTTAAAACAATAATTTCATTTAATATGTTTTTAAAAGATGACTGCACGGTTTATCGGTGAGTCGGGTGAGGGGGGGATATGAAACTCGCGCGCATCCGCCCTTCCACGTCAAAACAATCCCCGAGATTGTTTTCACTAACCGTCTAATATTAACGCATCGATTTTTTTTATTACCTGCATTTAAAACAAATTTTTTTAAATAAAGTTTTTTACAATTAAATAAGACAGAGGTGCAAGTGGAAGGTGAGAGAGAATGTTAAAAAGTTGTAATAACGAAAAAGAGTGAAATACCGTGAAAGAGAGGGGTGGCGGGGGTCGTTGGTGGGGTGAGGGGAGGGGCGGGTGGAAGAGGTCCGTTGGGCCGAAGATGGTGGAGGTGCGAGTGAAAGGTGAGAAAAAATGTCAAAAAGTTGTAATAACGAAAAAAAGTGAATTACAGCAGAAGAGAGGGGGTTGGTGGTACGGGGGAGGGGGAGGGGCGAGTGGTGGAGGTCCGGTGGGCCAAAGATGGTGGAGGTGCGAGTGAAAGGTGAGAGAGGATGTTGAAAAGTTTAAAAATGCGGACAGAGAAGAAGGACAAAAAGGAGAAGGAGACGTTTCTTCATTTTTCATTAAAATCACCACTTTTCGACCGCTCATATCTCCAGAACGGCTTGACCGATTTAAAATTTTTTTGGCTCAAATTATTCGTGGCAATGCCGCCTTTCAGGACATATGACGTTCGATTCAAAATTTTTTATATTTTAATAGTTATGCACCTTCCAATAATGGACTCTGATGGCTCGGGATAAGAGACTTGTAACGTCTCATAGTTTTTGAACATGGCCGGAGACGCTACCGCGTCTCCTGATATATGGATATAACATTTTATTCCTTTAAGACTTGTTCTGAATCTTTGCAGTCGTCATACTTTATCCATTTATTGTGTCGATGACTAATTGCTGTATAATGACCAATATCTTGATCTGTTGAATTTCTTGTTTGTTTTACAGGTGATTTAAAGTTTACTATTCCAGCAAGGCTATATTCCTTTATCATGAAAGAAAACTTCATTCTCTTTGGTATATCTTTTAATTGAACATCGTATTGTTCTCCATCACCAGAATTAGAATATATTTCCATTATGATAAATCGTCCTGTAAAAAAATAAAAAAATTTAATTTTATTATTTTAAATTAATTTTCTTATATAATGTCAAAACAGCAATAGAATATAATTAAAAAATATAATTATTATATAATTATTATATAATTAAAAACAACCAAATAATATGAACACATTACATAAAACTCAATATTTAATTTCTTTTTGAGATATTTTTTAAAGAAAAAAGTTGTGTTACATATTAAAGTTTGAAATTGTAGGTACTAAGCACACTATTTTACTAAATTTTATTTATAAATATTTTTTTAAAGATTTTGAGAATTTAAATTTTATATTGTGAACAAACACACACACACACACACACACACACACACACACACACACACACATACATGTATTAATTTTTTTACATTCTCATTAAACAAGTATTCCACATATTATTAAATGATTTAAAAATTCGTATATCGTATATTAGTCTAACAAAATATGATAAAGGTAGATACATACCTATTTCGGAAATTGTAGTACTCTCCAATCCATTACAATTATTTTGAGTACAAGAACGAAGTCCTTGGATTGTGATATCCTTTTCGATCTTATCAATATTATTATTTAATAGTGCTTCCAATTCAACTTGCACTAGTGGCAATATCTTCAGTCTTCGAGGACAACCTTTGTCACATTCCGATACTTCTTTAAATGATGGGTATTTCTGAAACAAATGTCTACATAAAAAGCCAACTGATACCTCACAATTGATCAGAATACAACTATTTGGTAATAATGTACATGAAAATATGTCTTTTAAAATCATCGCACGAAGTCTATACGATGATTTTCTTATACCATGAGATACCATTTCGTTAATCAATTCGAAAAATTTACAATTTGTTACACTACTTACAAAATCTTTAATAGTATGCGTGTCAAAATAAGCAGCAATAAATAACTGCAAAATGCTATCGAATGCACAAGTATTTGTTAGAGAATAATTATTCTTTCCAATTTTAATTGATTTTACAGACATGTTATTTCCGTTTTTTATAATTGGTATCTTATGTATGTTACTATTTAATAAAAATTCATTTCTTATACTATCCTTTTGTAAGTATCTTCCTTTAGACTGCGTGTTTGCTGTAACTAATCCTCGCCAATCTTCAACTTCCTTCATTGCGACAATGTCTTCAACATTGTTCAAATTGTGGCAGTCCAAACAAATTCGTTTTTGCCCATATCCTTCTTCTCCAATGGGTATCGAACATTCATCCAAGGCATGAACGAGTTTTTTGCATACATAACACGTATGTCCACCAGTCGGTTCGTGCCCGTTTGCACAAGCTGGACATTTTTTTTCGTTTCTGACATTATCTCTTGTAATCTCATTATTATCTTCATCATCTAAACTTTCCCTGATAATCTCATTATCTTCATTTAAACTTTCTCTAATAATCTCATTATCTTGATTTAAATTAATATTTTCTTCTATTCTTGTATCTCTTGAATCAAGGTCTTGAGTTTTTGCGTTTGTAATCTTTAAGCGGCCGCTCATGAAATTTACGTGCTTTGTCACAAATTCGCCCGCACGCATAGGTACTTTTTCTGTCTTTAACATAATATTTTTTATTATATTAAACTCGCTTTCCACTGAAGCACTGCTGGCAGGAATCCTACCATATCCAAAATTATCTCTGCATATGCATGACCATAGAGGCAACAGTTTCATATCTCTCATGAGATAATCGGCTAATTTTGGTATAAAATGAGCATTTTCCCTGTCTCCTTCATTATCAGCAAGTAACATTTTAACTTCATTATTTATATTTGTTGCCCATTGACTCCATTTATTGATATTACTTCCTTCTTCATCTTCTTTATCATTACATTGTCTTTCATTATCAATATTTAAATCTTCACAATCTTCTGTAATGAGATTTTTCATTTTTATTTTATACTCTTCACACAATGTTTTTTTACCTTCTTCTGTGTCACCCTCTGTCTCACTTTGACAAATAATTAACATTCCTTTTAAAATGTCACCCGCACTCTCAATGTTTTTACATAAAATTAGTTGTCCTAATATGTGTAAATAAAATTTTTTGATACGTGGACGTGTATCTTTGAAAAAATTTGCATATTTTTTTATAAAATGTGCTACATCAATACGTATGTAGCAATCAGGTAAATTATCTCCTTTACAGGCGTCTGCGTATTGTTCGAGAGTAAAATAATTAGTAAAACTTCTTACCGCTGCTGTCAATAATGCACGGGAAAAATCACATACAACTTCACGTGGTTGTGGTGCGCCGGATCGTATCCATTCCATCAGCCAATACTGGATGGTATTTGTTGTGTGTCTTTCAGACAACATTTGCGTTACAGGGAAAAGACCACTTTTCTGTGAGTTAGCTGCACAACTATATAAAAATATAGGTCCTGTTTTTGATTTATCAGATCTTTTAATTTTTTTGATAATGCTTCCTGTTGCGTCAATGTAAACACAAGAAGTTTCATCTGATGTGTATTTTCTGTATACATCCAACTGAAAATTCGACCAATAATGGATATAAAATGGATTTAGGCTAACATTGTGGATGATATTTTTCAATGAACCCAATTGCATTATTCCTAAAGCTTTAATAGGATCTTTATCAAAGTAACTTTCTTGTTTAATTTGATGTTTAGCCACACTTAAG